CAACATTCTCCGGTTGTATCTCCAGGGTTGTGAGCTGGGAAAACACTGCGCTCTGGCTGCCAGCGGTGATTTTATGGCCACAGGCACAGATAAAGGTCAACCTTTGGCCATGTGCTTGTCTACAGTTTCCTTTTGGGGATAAGCACTTACAAATGCGGCTGCCTCCTGTTTTTTTTGTTGTTGTTGTTGTTTTCATAAGATAAAAGAGTAAATAGGGAGGAGGTTGCCAGGTGATTACTCTTTTATTAGTTTATTTTATTGAATAGCTGTGTGATCCCTGTGAAGGATAAATTTATATTTTCCAGTGCGATATTTTATATTTTTACCTCCCAAGTAGATTAGAATTATGAAACTAAATTGCTATTTGCTTGGGTGTGATCCATGATCAACTTTCCCATGCCCCTGGATTAGAGGACCTTCATAGAAAGGGAGCCCTCCCCCGCCCCGCCCCGCCCAGCCCAGCCGGCACAGGGTCTGAGCAAGACCCACACAGGACACGCAGCACACGGGCACGATTTGAGTGTTTAGTAAATACCACGCGTGAGAATAATAAACACCCACAGCCCTAGCAATCATAGGTGTATTTAATTATAGGGAATTAAAGGAAACTTAATTATATAATTTTGTCCCTACCCGGGTCACTGCTGCGACTTCCTGTAAAGCTTAAATGAGTCATCGATCAACTGTAGCATTTGCAGATGGAAGACTCATGCCAGGAGTCACTGGCCCACTCTAACAGGGCTCCAGAGAGGAGTGACTTGTGTCCTCAGGGCCGACGTGACCACTGCAAGATGGTCAGCTGTCCAGCCCGTCTGCTTTGAGACGAGTGACGTAGGAGACCACCCTGCCTGGTCGTCCCTCCCAGTCATGTGAAGGTGCCTGCGAGCCAGGCAGCTGCACCATGAAAGTTATCCAGATGGGGAAATGTGTTGAGGGTTCCTCGAGGCAGAGCGCTGCAGGGTTTGGAAGGGAAAGTTCCACAGGCCTCTTGAGCTTGCGAGGTGGGAAGTAGAGGAGCGGGTGAGTCCGTCCACCAGGAGGCCCTGCTGAATAACAAGGGCTGTTTGCTAAACTCAATGAACAGCCAGTTCCTGTTTTGCTGAGTGGCTCATGCGAGCTTGGAGCTCATACTCTGTTGTTAGCCCATAGGTGAGTTCCATCCCCACCCCACAGCACGCAGACCTTTCTACTAAACAAACATGGAGGCTGGGCGTGGTAGCTCACGCCTGTATTCCCAGCATTCTGGGAGGCCGAGGCCAGTGGATCGCTCAAGGTCAGGAGTTCGAGACCAGCCTGAGCAAGAGCAAGACTCTGTCTCTACTGAAAAATAGAAAGCAACTAATTGGCCAACTAAAAATATATAGAAAAAAATAGGCCAGGTGAGGTGGCTCACGCCTGTAATCCTAGCACTCTAGGAGGCCGAGGCGGGTGGATTGCTTGAGGTCAGGAGTTCAAAACCAGCCTGAGCAAGACAGAGACCCCGTCTTACTATAAATAGAAAGAAACTAATTGGCCAACTAATATATATAGGGAAAACATTAGCCGGGCATGGTCGCGCATGCCTGTAGTCCCAGCTACTCGGGAGGCTAAGGCAGGAGGATTGCTTGAGCCCAGGAGTTTGAGGTTGCCGTGAGCTAGACTGATGCCACGGCACTCTAGTCCAGGCAACAGAGTGAGACTGTATCTGAAAAATAAAATAAAATAAACCAATGCGGAGGGACTCGATCAAGAATCCATTCTTGACTAGCTCTGGTCTCCCAGTCTGCATTGAGGGTGTTCTTTCTTAAGGGATACTTTGGGGGTGTCTGCCCCGCTCATGAGCCGATGACCCCTTCTTCTCTTGACATTGTCCTCCCATGCTCAGGGTGTGCCCTGGGATGTCACAAACTGTATGACCCGGACTCCTGGATACGGATGGGGAGGGGACCCAAGTGGGCAGGAGTCTTCCTCCCAAAAATGGAAAACTGGGAACCAAGAGAGTCAACGATCCTTAGAACAGGTGTTATGGGATGGCCACCTTCCACCACCAAGCGGGCTGAAGAGCAAAGGAAGTTTGTCCGCAGAGAGGGAGAGACGAGAAGCGAACGGGCCGGGCGAGGTGGCTCACACCTGTAATCCCAGCACTTTCGGAGGCTGAGGTGGGAGGATCACTTGAGGCCAGAAGCTGGAGACCAGCCTGAGCAACGCAGAGAGATCTCATCTCTAAAAATATAGAAAAATTAGCTGCGTGTGGTGGTGCACACCTGTAGTCCCAGCTACCTGGGAGGCTGAGACAGGAGGATCCCTTCAGCCCAGGAGTTCAAGGCTGCCGTGAGCTATGATGACGCCACTGCACTCTAGCCTGGGCGACAGAGCGAGGACCTGCCTCAAAATGAATAAGCAACTAAAAATAAAGAAATAAAAGAAAGCAGAATTGGGGAGCAGCAGTAAGAACAGAGACCGTGCCAGAGGGAGGCTCCTGCTTCCAGGCTCTTGCTCTGGGGTTTCTTGAGACACTTTCTATCTTTGTAACAAATGCCCTCCCCCGCCGACCCTTTTCTTAATAGAAAATGAAAAGAGATTTAGGGTGGGAAGGCTATTAGCCTTTTCAGGATGTTCCGTATCTCAGTCCAACCCGGCCCCGTGGCCTTCTGCTTTTCTCTGGTCTGAAATATCTCCCATCTTAGTGACCCCTTGGAGCCACATCACAAAGGCAGAGGCGTTTGGTACACACGGCCAGTTAACGGCTGTGTGCTCCACTCAAGAAAGATCCCTGGGAGGTGGGAAATAAGGACACCACCGCCAGCCCGTTCCTGACCACCTTAAAGGAATGCAAGTCTTGATTAAGTTTCAAGGTCAGGACAGAGAGTGCCCCTCCCGGAAGACCTGAATAAATGTGTTTCCTTGAGGCTAAGTCTGGACATGGGGCATCAACCTGGCGGGGGGGGCGGGGGGGGGTTACCACAGCTGGGGGGCGGGGGGGGCCGTGGAGGGGGGAAGTGTTAACACAGGTAACCTGCCCGCTTCACGGTGGCCTTGGGCCAGCCTGCATTTCTCCAGGAATGAAAGATCTCCTTTGTCTTCTGCCCCTGGTCACCACAATCACATGTCACCGAGGCCCAAGGTCTGTGTCCGGTTGAAATGTACACTCCCGGTGCCCACATGGCACACTGCACAGAACAGACATTTCGCAAACATTTGTTAAGCCAGGTGTCTTTCTGTACGTGCTGTGTGCAGTGTGTCAAATTCTGTTTCGTGTTTGTTTAAATCCATCCATTTCCTGGCGGGCTCAGAAACCCTTTCAAAGCCTGGCTGTGCTGGCATGGCCCTGTGACAGGTGGCAGTGAGGGCTGCAGAGAATGAGTCCCACGCCCTCGGAGTTCATGATTTAAGAAAGAGATGATTGCCCGGCGCGGTGGCTCACGCCTGTAATCCTAGCACTCTGGGATTGCTCGAGGTCAGGAGTTCGAAACCAGCCTGAGCAAGAGCGAGACCCCATCTCTACTATAAATATAAAGAAATTAATTGGCCAATTAATATATATAGAAAAAATTAGCCAGGCATGGTGGCGCATGCCTGTAGTCCCAGCTACTCGGGAGGCTGAGGCAGCAGGATCGCTTGAGCCCAGGAGTTTGAAGTTGCTGTGAGCCAGGCTGACGCCACGGCACTCACTCTAGCCTGGGCAACAAAGCGAGACTCTGTCTCAAAAAAAAAAAAAAAAGAAAGAGATGACATGGCCCTGGAGGGATGCAGCCCCCGACACAGGACGAATGCAACACCTTGCTCGGTGTCAGCATCCCCATTACTGCGGGAACGCTCACCCCTCGCCCAGCACCTCCCAGCCGCAACCTGACGTCTGTCTGTGCGATTACTCGTCATCCCTTTGTGCCTTAGGCTCCAGGGGAGGAAGGACACACGTGTGGCTAAGCTCCCGCTGAGGCCCCAGTAACTACACCGTGCTCCGCGGAGGCGCTCGGTAAAGACCTGCTGTTGAGCAGGTGGCGAGGGGAAATTGCAGCGGCAACCAGCCGACTCGGAGAGCATGCGCGAGAGCTCCGCGTGCGCATGCGCACGGCAGAGTGGGCGAGACAGACGAACGCCAGTGGGGGCGAGAAGGGAGGGAACCTAACGTCGGTTGTGTGTTTTGTGCGAGATGCCTTTCGCGTGCGTTGTCAGTTCACGCTCAGAGGGGATTTCTCTCAGAAGCGAAAGGCAGCAGCCCATTTTACAGATAAGAAAACTGAGAGTCAACGTTAAAAAGATTTCTCCCAGCCACCCCAGCCAGTAAATGGAAGTGTCAGGATTGTCACTTGCGTCTTTCTGGCTACAGACTTCATGCTCTTTCTTGTTTTCTTCACGTAGCCTCGGTAAGTCTGTTAGACGTAGCTCAGAAGAAGGATGGGACAAACAGACAAAGAGACAAATGTGACCAGGAAGAATGGGGGGTGGGGTCTCTAGGATCCGAGGGGCAGACTAAAGGAGCAGGAGGTGGGGACATGGACACCCACCTGGGTGGGGGTCAGATCAGCAGAGGAAGACTGTTTCTCCCAAGGCTCTTAGGAATCCCCCCCAAACCTCTGACCCCACCTCGAAGCTCAGTGAGAGAAGTGTGCAGACAGGAGGATCCTAGTTTCTCTGCAGAACACCTGATACTAAGTGGCAGAAAAGAAGTGATGGTTTTGACAGCCTCACATTAAAGTAGAAAATGGAAAATAAAGGCCAGGTGTGGTGGCTCACATCTGTAATCCTAGCACCATGGGAGGCCGAGCAGGGAGGATTGCTTAAGGCCAGGAGTTCAGAGGTTGCAGCGAGCTGTGACAAAGCCACTGCATTCCAGCCTGGGCGACAGAGTGAGGACCAGCCTGAGAAAAATCGAGACCCCCGTCTCTACAAAAAATAGAAAAATTAGCCGGGCATGGTGGAGCATGCCTGTAGTCCCAGCTACTCAGGAGGCTGAGACAGGAGGATCGCTTGAGCCCAGGAGTTTGAGGTTGCAGTGAACTATGATGAGGCCACGGCATTCCAGCCTAGGGGACAGAGCAAGACCCTGTGTCAAAAAGAAAAAAAAGAAAGAAAATAAAGTAAATACAATCCCAGGAGCTAAAAACCTTGAGTGCCAGAAGTCAGACCAGCCACCCTAAATCTATCTTTTACTCCTGCTAGAAAAAGCCTCCTGGAATAGAAATCAGATCGTGCCCCTCCACCCTTATGACCACTCTCCTCCTTCTGCCCACCCCCCACCTCCCACTCGAAATTCTTCCATGGCTCTTCCTGAACAAGTGGACACACCATAAACGAAACCCTGGGATGCAATGCACAGTGCAAATCCTGCTCCGGCCCTGCCACGGACCCTGGAGGGGAAGCTCCCTCACTCCCGGGGAGGCAGACAGAACCCCTGCTTCGTGCTCCCCCTGAGCTCACACACCCAGGCAGCGCGATCACTCGCTTCCCTGACTGTCTCACTACAGCTGTCCTCGCTTACGGGTGGGAAACGGGCCTTTCCTCTGCGATCTCCAGCACCTAACATGAGGTATTGCAAACCGGTGGGCTCTCCACAAATTAGTGCTAAATATATATATATATATTTATTTTTATTTTTTTTTATTTTTTTATTTTTATTTTTTTTTTTTGAGACAGAGTCTCGCTTTGTTGCCTAGGCTAGAGTGAGTGCCGTGGCGTCAGCCTAGCTCACAGCAACCTCCAACTCCTAGGCTCAAGGGATCCTTCTGTCTCAGCCTCCCGAGTAGCTGGGACTACAGGCATGCACCACCAGGCCCCGCTAATTTTTTCTATATATATTAGTTGGCCAATTAGTTTCTTTCTATTTATAGTAGAGACGGGGTCTCGCTCTTGCTCAGGCTGGTTTAGAACCCCCGACCTCGAGCAATCCGCCCGCCTCGGCCTCCCAGAGAGCTAGGATTACAGGCGTGAGCCACCGCGCCCGGCTATTTTTATTTTTTTCCTAGCCATGCCAACAAGCAAGAGTTTGTTTTTAAGCAGGGTCGGACTCATGCTAGTGTTTAAAGCATGTTTAAAGCTAGTGTTTAAATCTTTAAGGCAGACCTTTCCAAGCCAAGGTCGGCAGCTGTGGCCCTTACACGAATGTGTCTCTGCCACTTCCTTGCGAATGAGGTTGCCTTCCTCGGTTACCCAGGCTTCATTAAAAAAACACAACGGTCAACCGAATCGCACAAGCATTAGGTGACAAGAGCAGGATCACACAAGCTCATTCTTAGAACTCACCGGCCGGGATGGCCGGGCAGGCGGGGCGCGGGAGTGAGCGCGGCCCGGGGCGGAGCGTGCAGCGTGGGTCGGGGAGAGGTTTCCACGCCAGTCTCGGCATGCGGCTCCCCAAACGCCTCGCTCCTGCCAAGCGCGCTTTATTGGTCAGAGGTAAGTGTCCAGACCCAGTGCCAAAGGGAGCAGGTGGTCTTAGGTAGTGGGTGGTGACACTCGTTCCCTCCGCCTCCGTTAGAGACTGGTTTGCAGTCGGCCCAAAGCTGGAGAATCGGGCCAAGTCACGCTGCCGACGGCAGTGTTTCTGTAGTTTCCACGGTGTTCGGCCTTCACCGGACGCTGTCTGTGTCCCCAGGTATCAGTCCAGAGGGAGCGTTAAAGAGAGAGCTGCAGAGCCACTACAGAAGGCCGCGTCCCGGGCGCCCACTGTGGGCAGGAGGACAGCCGGCTATGCGCAGTCCGAGCCAGAGAACAGTGCCGGGCACACGCAGCGCCAGCCCACAGCCCCCGCCGGGGCGGACGGCAGGACAGAGGCCGGCAGGGCAGCCCCCACGGAGCGGGCCGAGGCGGCCAGCACTGCACAGACCACTGCACAGACGGCATTGCAAAAGAGGCAGGAAGAAGAGAAAACCGAGGCTCGCACACCCGGAGGTCTGGACGCGGGGACAGAGGCCCCATCGCTGAAGGGTCGGGTCGCAAAGACGACCAGAGGAAGCATGGGCCAGACCGAGAAGGTGACAGCCACGAGGACGGCGCTGGCTCAGGGCGAAGCAGTCACCGCCGCAAAGACGCCCGCCCCAGACAGGCAGGGCACACCACTGCCCCCCACCGCAGCAGTGTGGACGACGAGGCAGAGAGGAGTGACCACAGCGGCCGTCCCGCCCACGGAGCAGAAGGCTCTGGTCACCCGGAGCACCACCCCTCTCCAGAGGCGCACCACACGGACAGCCCAGAGACAGAGGCCGAATGTCGCCAAATTCAAGGCCGAGCCCAAGTGGGATTTCGAGGAGAAATACAGCATGGAGGAGGGGGCCCTCCGGACGGTGAGTTCTCCTCTGCAGCCCCTCCGGGAGACTGCCCTCCCCACCCTCCCCGCACCTCCCGCAGGACCTTCAGCTTTGCCTTGCCCTGCCCCCGCTGCCCCTGCCTGCGCCCGTCCCACCCTCCCCTCCTGTCCCAGAGTCCTGGGCTGGCAGCATGGGAAGAGGAGGTGAGGAGGGGCCTCCCCGAGCCCTGCGGGAGGCCTGGGGCTCATCAGCCGGGCTGAGAGGTGCGATAAGCCCATCTGCTCTGGGGCTTATCGCGGGAACCATGCTCCAGCGCTGGGAGGGCGCAGGACTGACAGACAGGACACGCCCCGACCTCACGCCAGCCCTGATCCCCGGCAGCGCCTGTCTCTCCTGCAAAGCCCACGGCGCAACCTCCACCCTCTCCCAACCCTAAGAAAAACAGCCTGGGCTTAACCACCTGGCCTTCTTATGGCCCCGCACAGAAGCGGGGTTTAAGATGTGTCTGTTTGCACACACACACGATGGCAACCGTGGCACCGACAGCGTGCTGGACATTTGCTGCGTTTGGGGGCGGTTCCTCTTGGATGATGGCAGGGTGGGTGGTGGGTGCAGGGAATAGGACAGAAGAGGCAGTGACCTTCCTGGCCCCTCCCTGCCTGACCCAGCCCTCCTGCACGTAGACCTGCCCGGACTCTGTGAAGGTCAAAGCCTCCAAGTCACCGTGGCTCCGGAACCTCTTTCTGCCCAACCTCACCCTCTTCCTGGACTCCAGCCGCTTCAACCAGAGGGAGTGGGAGCGCCTGGAGCACTTCACATCGCCCTTTGGCTTCCTGGAGCTCAACCACTCCTGTGAGTCCTCCCCAGACAGGCTGGGGGGGGCGCGGCAGGAGAGGGCGGCGGGCAGCGCGCTTTCCACCTCTGGTCTGCCTCCTCCCTGGGGTCCGCTGGCCCGGGGAGAGATGAGGGGCCAGACTCCCGCCCCTTCCAGGGCTCTGAACGGAGCCCCCCTTGTTCCAGTGGTGCAGAAGGTGGTGACACGCTTCCCCCCAGTGGGCCAGCAGCAGCTGCTCCTGGCCAGCCTCCCTCCTGGGAGCTCCAGGTGCATCACGTGTGCCGTGGTGGGCAACGGGGGCATCCTGAACAACTCCCACGTGGGCCAGGAGATAGACAGCCACGACTATGTGTTCCGGTGAGCTGCCCGCCCCCAGGGCCCCCTTCCGCCCCTCTCCTGCAGATACGGGCTCTTCTGAGAGAACGGATGCGGCGTCCGTGCCTGCGTCTGGACGGTGGGAGTCCTGGGCCCCCCAGAGAATTTCGGCGTGTAACTGCGGCCTCCCTTTCCTGCTCCACCTGCACATCCCCCTCCTCCACTCACGGGCCCTGTCTGCTTTCCCCCCACCCCGCACAGACTGAGCGGGGCTGTCATTAAAGGCTACGAACAGGATGTGGGTACTCGGACGTCCTTCTACGGCTTTACTGCCTTCTCCGTGACCCAGTCACTGCTTATCTTGGGCAACCGGGGTTTCCAGAACGTGCCCGTGGGGAAGGTGAGCAGAGGACCGGGCCTGCCCGCACCCAGACTGTGGAGACATGAGCGCCAGGCGGGGCAGGCAGAGGGGTGTCTCGTGTCTGGATGGAGTCAGTGGCTGGTGCCGGTGCTCTTCACATGAGGGGCAGGAGCAGGGAGGACAGTCAGACCCGGCCAGAGAAGGGCAGCGGGCAGCCTGGGGTCAGAGCCTGAAGGCAGCACTCCTGGACCTCTCGCTGTCCTTGGCCCTCAGGACATCCACTACCTGCACTTCCTGGAAGGCACCCGAGACTATGAGTGGCTGGAAGCGCTGCTTCTGAATCAGACCTTGAGGTCAAAGAATCTTTTCTGGTTCAGGTACCCACTGCCCCCCGCAGCCCCTTAGCCCAGGCCGAGCTGTGCAGTGAGGGGCTGTGGAGGGCTGGACAGGTGGGGACAGCCTTAGCCTTCACCTGGAGATGGAGTCATGTCCGTGACCCTGACTCAGCCCACACAAGGCCAGGTGTGAGAACTGAGTCCGAATGACCCCATTCCTGACCCCAGGCAGAGGCCCCAGAAAGCGTTCCAGGAAGCCTTGCAATTGGACAGATACCTATTGCTGCACCCGGACTTTCTCCGGTACATGAAGAACAGGTGAGAGCAGAAAGCACGTGGAGGCCCCGGGGTCCTCTCATCCTTGCAGCCTCCTGACAGTTGGGGTTCTGGGGCGCTTCACAGGTTTCTGAGGTCTAAGACCCTGGACACTGTCCACTGGAGAATATACCGCCCCACCACTGGGGCCCTCCTGCTGCTCACTGCCCTTCACCTCTGCGACCAGGTAGGACTCTACTTCAGGAGCAGGTACACCTGGAGAAGCAGCTCTGGAGCTATTCCCAGCCCTGCTCAGCAGGGGACAGTGAGAGTGGGCACATGCATGTGTGTGTGTGTGCACCCAGGGACCTGCTCCAGACCCCCAGGGGTGGAAACAGGATAAAGGGATCCCCCCCACCCCATCCCCCCACGCCAAGTTAGCCCAGGAGCAGAAGCCTGGGAGACAGCAACCCCAGGCCCTGCCTCTTCCTCCAACCTTTACGCAGGTGAGTGCCTATGGCTTCATCACCCAGGGCCACGAGCGCTTTTCTGATCACTACTATGATAAGTCATGGAAAAAACTGATCTTTTACATAAACCATGACTTCAAGTTAGAGCGCGAAGTCTGGAAGCGGCTGCATGATGAAGGCATAATCCGGCTGTACCAGCGACCCGAAACCCCCGCAGCGAAGGGCTGACTGGGGCTGACGCAGCAGCCTCTTGCCACTGCCCGGGCTCGGCGTGCGGTGCTGGCGGCGAGACTCTTCTGCGGGCTTCCCAGGGCTCGGGCCAGCCTCGGAGCCCTTCGGGAGTCCGAGGGAACACTTGGGAAGAGGACAAGACTCTCCCCAGACGGCAAATGATTGGTCACGGTGTCGAAGTTCTCTGGGACGCTGCTGTGGCTTCTGACGAAGATTCCTGAGACCAGGGATTTTTAACCACATGGGGTGATGAGTCGGCAATACCACAATTTCTGCCAAAAAGCCTCTTCTTGTCCAAAAGCTACCTGGTACTAGAGGAAAGAGCCTTAATTTACAGAGACGTGTAAAAATAGATTTGGGTTGAATTCCAGATCTTCTACTTAGCAGCTGTGAAACCTTGAAGGCACTACTTAATTTCATTGCAGATCATCTAGAGGAGCCTTCCAGGGGTATTATTCTAGAAGGGTCTGCTCTTTTCCTTGTCCTTGAGCTATCTGACAACTCTGTGCATTGTAGAAAACTGATGGTTAATGTAAATGATTCTTGTCCATGGAGATGCAAATAAATTTTGTACAAGGAAGATGTGGTTAATTATTATTACCCTGTGGATAGTGACCAGTTTTGTGCCTATTAGCAAATTCTCTTTAATATTCCCGATTGCCTATACTTGTGTCTGTTCTTTGGATTTTTATTTGAACCAGTTTTTACATTATCACTGGTTCCTATATTAATTAGTTAAATTAGACCTTTGACATGTATTCACTTTATATTGATATGAGACTCATGATTTTACCCTTTAAAAAACTCATCCTTTAATATTTTGTTAGGCCACAGTTTTCTAACCTGTAAAATGGCTCTGGGGGTATCTATTTCACAATGATTTTTTTAAATGACTGTATGTAAATAGCCTGACACAACAAGAAATTTGTTTTCCTTTCCCTTTCATTCTTCTATCCTCCCATCAACCTGCCTTCTTTTTTTTTTGAGACAGAGTCTCGCTTTCTTGCCCAGGCTAGAGTGAGTGCCATGGCGTCAGCCTAGCTCACAGCAACCTCAAACTCCTGGGCTCAAGCGATCCTCCTGCCTCAGCCTCCCGAGTAGCTGGGACTACAGGCACGAGCCACCATGCCCGGCTAATTTATATATATATATTAGTTGGCCAATTAATTTCTATTTTTTTTATAGTAGAGACAGGGTCTCGCTCAGGCTGGTTTTGAACTCCTGACCTTGAGCAATCCGCCCGCCTCGGCCTCCCAAAGTTGCTAGGATTACAGGCGTGAGCCACCGCGCCCGGCCCAACCTGCCTTCTTTCTCAGACCCTACCATGAGAATTTAAGCTCAGCCAAAGACACCTTTCAGTTCACCTTGCCCTTTGAACTCTGTCTCTGGATTTGGATCCTGGAGCCCAGAAGAACTCCGAAAAAGGCTAAACAAAAACAAAAATACAAACAAAAACGAACAACAACAAAAAAACCTCCCACCACCCTTCCCTTAGACTTAAAGCCCTGGTACCAATGGGTCTGCCACTCGCTCTGCTCTGAAAGGGCGCAGTACCAGCGCCGGGCGGCAGGCGGCGGCACCTCTGCGCCCGGTTCCCGTGTTGACGGTGGGCGGGCCATCGCCGCTTCTCACCTGCAGTGGGCCACACCGAGCTGCGTGGGGAGCTAGGAGCCACTTAGAAAGAGCTCAGACTAGGCCCGTAACTCCCATCATACAAAACAATAAATTCCAGATGCTTCAGAGACCTAAATGATAAGAGTACTAAGAATTCATGGGGGAATACCTCTTTGGCCAGAGGGTAAGAAAAAGTTTTCTAACTAAGACTCAAAATCCAGAGGCAATATAAGATAGATAAATTTTACTGCATAAAAATAATAAAATTTTGCCTGCAGTCCCAGCTACTGGGGAGGCTGAGGCAGGAGGATCGCTTGAGGAGTTTGAGGTTGCTGTGAGCTAAGCTGACACCACGGCACTCTAGCCTGGGCAACAGAGTGAGACTCTGTCTCAAAATAATAATAATAATAATAAAATTTTTCATGGCAAAAAAATTACCATGAAGTCAAAAGACAAATTAAGAACTGGGAAAAAATATTTGCCACACATATTCATGGATTAAAAGAGCTAATATCCCTCTCGTATACAGTAAAGGACTTTGAGGGAAAGAAGACCAAAAACCCAACAGAAAAATGGGCAAAAAATATGAATGGCATCTCCCAAAAAAGATTTAAAACTGGCCCTCAGACATGTGAAAAATGTTCAATTTGACTCAGTAAGGGAAATGCAAACTGAAATTACTCTGAGATACAGTTTTTGCGCCTATCAGATTGGCAAAAATTAAAAAGCCAGACAACTATTTTCTTGGAAATGGAAATTTTTATAATAGCTAGTGGGATTGCAAATTGGAAAGGCCCGTATGAAGGGGAATTAGGCAATATCAAACAAAACTACATGGGTATTTTGCCTTTTGACCAAATAATCCCACATCTAGAAATTGGTGAAGATATACCACCAACAATAAGAAAATAAATACGCGTGAGGTTATCCATGGCAGCATTGTTTGAAATTGTGGAATTTTGGAAAGCACTTAAATGTAGGAGAGGTGAACATACAGAGTGGTACAGCCACGTGACAGCAGACTGTGTGGCTGGGAAAACAACGAGTAAGATGTGTATGAACTGACACAAGTGATTTCTAAGATGTATTGTTTAGTTAAAAAAAAAAAAAAAGCAATAAAGACAGCAGAGTATTTGTAGCACTGTTAAAAGAAAACCTTCAGACAAAACAAACTTAGCAGAGTTTATTGGAGCAAACAATGAATTAGACAGCACCCTGAACTAATCAATACAGGTTCAGAGAGCGCCACCCAGGGACGTGAGCAGGCAGTATTTAGAGACAGAAAAAGGACAGGAGGTACAGAAACAGCGGGATTGGTTGTAGCTCTGCCTTTGCCGCAGGTGGCTGAAAGCTCAGCTGCTGTGATTGGCCAAGACTCAGCTACTTCTCACAAGAATGTACTCTCAACTTTAGGTTGCAGTTGTTTAGACACCAATTTAGATTACAGTTCCCTACCTACAGAAACAGCTTTAGGACAAATTTAATTTAACAGTACTTGTACCTTTTACATAGGAAAGAAGAAATTAAAAAATATACGTGTATCTGCTTATCTTTGCAAAAAGAAACATGAAGAAAAGATATATCAAAACCCAATGAGAGGGCCGGGCGCTGTGGCTCACGCCTGTAATCCTAGCTCTTGGGAGGCCGAGGCGGGCGGATTGCTCAAGGTCAGGAGTTCAAAACCGCTGAGCGAGGGAAAGGGAGGGGGGGGAGGGAGGGGGAAAGTAAATGTTATGTTAGAAACTCCCAAAATAGACAATGAACACTATATAAGACCATATTGAATGATTCTAAGAAAGCACAAAACAACACCATGATGGTAAGTTCATTAAAACTTATAAAAATTTATCACCTAATATTTGTTTCTAAATTGCTTCATCCCAAACACCAAGAATCACCAACACAACTAAAATAGATTTTTTTTTAATTGAACATTACTGAAGAGAACTACATTGAGGCTTTACTATATATCTGTGCGAAACCACTTTCTGACAACACAGCAGCTCACTAACCTGTGAAGGGTACACTTAAACTTACAAAGCACTTCAATTATAAGGGCCCCTCGAGTGCGGAGCCAGAGAAAAGAACATATCCTACATTTGTGAACGCCAAATTTCGTGAAGTATTTAACTCCAGTATAATGGATAATTTAATCATTCGCAAGTTATCAAAAATTAGCCGGGCATGGTGCGCATGCCTGTAAGTCCCAGCTACCCGGGAGGCTAGCAGCAAAGGGAGCGCGAGCGCGAGCGCGCGAGAGTATCATTTGATGTATCCTTGAATGGTGACTGGCTGACGCCCACGCACCTACTATCCACTCCTAATATATATAGCACACATCTGTCGTTATATTTTTTTTCTATATGTTATGTTATCTTTGAACACGATGCTCCGTCATTGTGCCAACAAAAGGCAAAAAAGTAGATTACAACAAAAAAACCCAATGTAGATAGCGTGCATAGCCTTACAGAGCAGAGACGAGAGCAACCAATCAAACAGTCCTGGCACAAAGCCATACCATACACTGAGCCTCAGTCTCCCGAGTATAAAAACATGGAAAAACTAGGACATATAAAACAATGAGAGGGCGCCACCATCGGACGCGCCTTGGCTAAGCTGTCGTCGCTATACAGTAAGTATCCAGCACTCGGTTGAGGAGTTGCCAATTAATTTTTTCTATTTTTATAGTCTAGGAGATGGGACAGGGGCTCAGCTTCCTCTCAGTGCGGTTTTCGAAACCTCTGACAGGAGTTCTCGAGCGACATACCTCCTGCCGCGTCCTAGGGCTCCCAGATCCTAGGATTAACAGCGATCGAGCCACCGCTCCCCCGGCCAATAAATCGTGTTGTTCTTTGCATCATATTCACTGGGGTAAGCACAGCATACTGACTATGGTTTAACTACTTTATTTTTTTTTTCCTTTTTTTTGAGACAGAGTGCGTCCACATTCGAATATTGCCTCATAGCTAGAGTGAACGCGTCCGTGGCATCAGCCTATCCCGTCACAGCAACCTCAACTCCTGGGCTCAGCAATCCGGTGGACTGCCTCAGCCTCCCACCAGGAGTAGGTTGCTACTAGGGAATCAGCAGGGTGAACCCGCCCCACGCGGCTACAACACGGAGCAGATGTCAGCCAACTCGCCTAGAAGCTGATTCTATATATATTATTAGGTAGATTTCAATGCGCCTGGTGCAATTTAGACCCTTTGGCTTATCTATTTATCCAGTCCTAGAGAGCGGCGAGTCATACGCACTTGCTCAGGCGGGCGATTCGACCACTCCTGACCTCGACGCAACTCGCCGCCTCAGCCTCCCAAGAGCTAGATTAGGCTTGAGCCACCGCGCCGTCCGGATAACTACTTATGAAGGCTAAGTTGCTGTATTTGCACGTAATTAGTTGTTGCATACGCACAGGAACACAGAGACACAATTGGAAACTGGACATTCACTGTGGCGAGGTAATGTTCCAAACAAAAATAAAGGCTACTTGTACGCGACAACAGAATGCTAACTAGAAGACAAGGAAACCCGGGACTGCCAATATGTGTCGCCTCCAGGTGATTTCTCGCTTGAACAAATTTTATGACCCTAGAAGTGTTTGAAAAAGAAGAAACTGCAGAAGGTAAAACAATAGTCTTTTATGACAGGAGTCTGAGAACAGCGGTGAGGTTTTTTTGGAGACAGGCTTGAACAAAGGATGACTCGCTGGGTAGGCATTTTCAGACCCCGAACAAGGAAGAATGTAGCTGTTTATGGCTGATGGACGAATGTGGAAGGGCCCGTGCCTATTTTTATATTTTTCTGCCATTACATTGTGCCGTCAACTGTAGCTTACCTAAATGCCCTCTGTTTCTTTAAGCTACACTAGTACATTAAGGAGCAAAGATAATTCCCATATTAGAAAAACAGCATAACAACCTCTATGAACAATGAACCTTGGTCAGATTATG